GGGGTTGAGGGGGGCAGGGAACGCTCAGGTGGGACGATGGGGGCCGTCTTTCACGGCGCTGGGGTCCGCGCATAGGGCGGCGGCTCTGCAAGAAGTGAGTGGGCGCGACGGGCACTCGGCACCGAGCAGGCTCTGCTCCCGCCGACTCCCCCAATCAAAAGTCCTAGGATCCCGCTCCCGATCCCCGGCGCTGTGCCTCCCGGAGGCGGAGACCCAGAGGACATTTGGACGCTAGAGCGGTGGGTGGAGCATCCTCCACCACCCGCGGCGCAGTTTTGTGTTATTTTTAAACCGTGCGCCCTTTCTGGCAGACTCTCCCCGGACTGCATCTCCAGGACCAAGACAATGAGAACACCGGGTCGGAACGACTGTTCCGACGAGGGACGGGGCAGCCTCTAGTGACCACTAGTGACCAAAGGGTAGCGCTCGGAGGGTCCCACCCCCTCCCCACCGGGCTCGCGCCAAAACCCGGAGACTAGAGCGCAACCCGGGCCGTCCGTGGCGGCGGCGCCCGCAGCTAGTCAGGGCATGCTCAGTGGGCAGAGCCGGTTTTCGGGCTTAGAAGCAGGAAGCCTTCGCACCGCACGCCCACACTCCAGCTCGAATTACCTCTCCCAGACTCCCGGCCCATTGGTCCCGGGCGCCAATCTCACACCTCACGTGCGCTCCCATTGGCCACCGCCAAGGTTTTGTCAGTTTGGGCCGCTTCATTGGCTGAAAAGTAACCTCCGCCCGTGATTGGCTTTGCCTGGAGCTGGAGTTCGGAGGCGGAGGCACAGCTGTTCTTTCTGGGCTGCTCCTCCTCCGCCCCCTCCCTCCCTCCCACTTCCCCCAGCTAGTCGTTTTGCAGCTAAGAGTGCAAGAAATAAGAGGAATTTAGGCGGCGAGCTCGGAGCTAAATATAGCCCCTTGTTGGTGTTTTCCAGAGAGCGTGACTTCTCGGTGCCCAGTCACGACTGTCCTTTAAAGGGAGCAGATAGGGCTGGTCACAGTGCTCGGTCCACGAGCATCAGCAAACTTTCCAAGTTCTTTGGCAGCAGGAGGAGGGCGGCTAGGATGTGGAAAGGGGCCACTGTGGCTTCTTCCCACACGGAGGAGTGGGGGATGCCCAGGCTTGCCCTTAGAAGACGTCTTCGCTTTGGGCGGGCAGTCGCCAGACTTGGCTCGGCTCACCCTCCCGGGAGGTGCCAGGGAACTGCCTGGACTTGCCTCTGGGTCTCCCTCTTTCCTGGCGAAGGAGATGTCAAGACCTGTCAGGAGGCTTAGGGAGTTAGCGTGCGCTCCCAGGCGAGTGGGATGGGAGGGGACCGAGCTGCGTCAACACTGGCGCCGGGTCCTGCCTTTAAAAAAAAAAAAATCCCAGGCCACTTGTACTGGCTTAACGGCGGGCATCATCAGGGATGAGCCAAGCGGTGTGCTGCGTGCTCACACGGTTTCAGTTCCTGAGCCCCGCCGTGACTCACGGCCACATTTGCGAGTTAACCTTCTCCGAAGCCCTGGCTGTAGCTCGTACCGTGCGTGTCTGCAGCCCCAAGTCCTTGGCCACGGGACCTGCGGGACCTGGGCGGCAGCCTGCGCCTTGGATGCGGGTGGATGGTGCCCAAGCCCCGCGCCTGGCCGCGCTCTTCAGTGGAGAGAGGGGTTGAACCTTGATGATCGAGTGCCTGGATATCGTTATGTTTATATAATTCTCCAGATAAATCTTTCGGAAGGAGGCAAGTTCACCTAATGCAGCTGGAGAGAACCTCACAACATTTATCCAGCGTTTAATGTCCGCGAAGCCTTTCTACACGCCATCCCTTACTTACTCCTCGTAACAATGATCTGCTTTAAGATGAGGAAATGGAAGCCCTAAGATGTTCAGTAACTTGCTTGAGATTTCACAGGTGGTGAGTAGCCACGCTAGGGTCGCAGGTGTTTAGGCTGCTTGTAACCAATCGTCCATACTGCCTTTACGCAAGAAAGTTCCCGGATTTTATTTACTCTTAGGCTGAATCTTGAGGTCTTGTAATCAGACTGGCTCTTAAACCGAAGCAAAAGGGACCTCCGCCCATGGCCACGGTCTGCTCTCCTCTGGCAGTGCCCCTTCCCACAGCTCCAAGAGCCTGACCTCTCCTCTAGACCATTCATTCTCCAGGACTCAGGGGTGCAAAACCTTTTGTGGGCCATAAGGAATTATCACCTTAAAAACTACCCTGCTATATGTATATGGTCAAACGTTTAATGAACTCACATCTAATGCCTTGGCAGGGCCAGGCCAAATGATTTCGAGGGCCTTCTGGGCCCCACCCCTGCTCCAGGTCCTCGGAATTCTGACATCCCCTACCTAAGTAGCACCAAAGCCTCTCTCAGGATCTGCCTGGGCCTCTGACCCCACCCTGTGCCCAGAAATGGGTCTTGGTTGGAGTGTGCACAGTGCTTGGACGCCTGAGCCCATCCTGCAACTTTGGGCCCCTCCTTAGGGCAGGAAGAGGGGTCCCTGGGAGTCAGCTCTTTCTTCCCTGTGACCTTGCAGCCTGTCCCTGGGAAGAGTCCAAGAATTCATAGTTCACACCTGGCCGCGCAGGTCCTTGGGAAGAGGTATTTGTCAAGGTGGGAGGGTCATATTTTATCAGTTTGTTATCTCGATGTATAACAAATACTCAGACTAAGGCTATGTAGGCCTCTATTTGTCTTCTTGCACACAAATGTGAGGTGTGGTTCTGAGTACCACACTGGAGAAAATGTTTTGTCCTCATAAGCCTGGTGGCTAATCTCCAGTGTTGGAGAGCAGTTATTATCTGAGCCCTTGGGCAGGCTCCTCAGGCTCTCCTGACCTTAGGTTCCCTCGCTATAACCTGGTGATAATAAAATGTGCCCTGCCCTCCTCGCTCCCCAAGGAACCTGGGGGAGAATCTGGTGACCAACCCCCTCATTATACATCAGAGAGGGCTGAGCAGAATTAGAACCCTGGTGTCCTGGCTGCCCTTTTCCTGGTGCCAGCCTGTTCCTCGGGGGTAATAATTAACAGGTACTGGGTGGAAACATGTTTTTAAAGCCGCAGCACGTCATAAATGCATGACAATTATCCAGACTCAGGGGGGCTGACAACCCCGTCTACCAGATCCTCAGGACTCTGGGTGTTATTGAATCTTGGTGGCCTCGCTGGAACCAGAAAGATGCCACAGTTTGGATATTTTCCATTAGCAGTGGTTCTCAACCTTGGCTGCACATTAGAATCACCTGGGAATCTTTTTAAAATCCTGATTTCTGGGCCTCATCCTCCGGGCCACAACATTAGTAACAAAGAAACAGAATTTCCGGAGGATGGGGCCCAGAAATCAGGATTTTAAAAAGATTCCCAGGTGATTCTAATGTGCAGCCAAGGTTGAAAACCACTGTATTAGGGACTTCTCAGTTGCTAATTGTATTACATTCAGGGGGTCTCCCTCAGGGAGATTTGCACTGGGGCTTTGTGATTCAAAACGAAGTAATAAAATTGCTGATGCAGACATTTTTAAGGTTGCTCACTTCCTCTTATGAAATCTGTTAGGAGTCTTTATTTACCTCGCTTAGAGGTTATTATATACCCTGTACCATAATTATTTACAAGTCTGTGTCTTGTCACTCAGTATCACATGAATTCCTTGAGGGCAGGGTCCATACCAGGCTTATCTTTGGAGCCACCTCTTTGCCGCACAACATATAATGCAGTGCCTACATAGGAAGCCCTCGATAAATATTTACTGAATATATGAATGGCATTTTCTTCCTTTTCCAAACTCTTTGTAGTAAAAGATTTTATTAAGGTTTGCTGAAATATAACATTTCCTGGAAACTTAGAAAAATACATCCGAATGTTTCAGTCTCCCTGAGTTATTATGAAGATTCTGGGTGACCAACGTCTACCTTTATTTCGGTGGAGACACTAAATTGGTGCTATCTTGGGGGAAAGATACCAAAGTGTCCAATGGATAAACCCTTTCTCTGAAGATTTAACATCTGCTGATAATATGAAAACCTTGAAAGTAAAAGCTACCGAGTAAGAACAACTTAACCTTTGGTACTGACTGATCCATCAAGGCGGGTCGTGGCCCTGGCTTTTGCTCACACAGTGGGGCTGCTGCGGTTTTACAACACGTGGGTTGGGCCTTCCATGAATTAGCATGTTTGTTAGAACATGAATCTTTGAAGTCTTCGAGAAAATAAGTACCACTTGTCCACTTCATGTATACAAAGTAATGAGTTTATTATTTTTGTCATTTTAGCTGGTGCCACCTATAGGTAAACAAATAATTCAGAACAAATACTAATTTTGAAAACACCAAGGATAAGTTGATAGTGACCATGCATTATTTTTTTAAAGGGAGGTGTGAGTGTAAGATGGTGCCTTGAAGAGTTCTCAATACTATTTGTTAAATACTTGAACATGTTATAACCCAGGCTACTAGCGGGCTTAGGATATTTTATTTTTTTAATTTTAATTTGTGGTCTTTTAAAAGCAATCTCCAGAAATTCCCCAAGCATTATCT